TTAGAGACCACCAGAGACCATTAAAGACTATCAGAGGCCACCAGCGATCATCTGAGGCAACCACAAGCCATAAGATGCCATCGGAGCCTATCGGAGACCATCTGAGATCACCAGAGTATCAGAGGCTATCAGAGACCACCAGGGACCATCAGAGGCCATCAGAGACCGTCAGAGACTAACAGAGGCCACTGGAGACCATCACTCATCATCCTAAAGTATCAGAGACCATCAGAGACTAACAGAGAACACCACATATCATCAGTGAGTATTAGAGACCGTCAGAGGCCATCAGAGACCACCAGAAACCATCAAAGACCATCAGAGACCATCAGAGTTCATCAGAGTCCACCAGAGGCCATCAGAGGCCATCAGGGACCACCAGAGACCATCAGAGATAATCAGATACCACCAGAGGCCATCAGAGTATCAGAGACCACCAGAGACTATCACAGATTATCAGAAAGTATCAGAGACCATCAGATACCACCAGAGATCAGCAGAGGCCATCGAAGACTATCACAGACTGACACAGATCATCAGAGACCATCAGAGCCCACCACAGATTGCAAATTTACGGGCATTTTTTTTCATGTTGTAAGGCTGGTGTAGGCTAATGTGTGTGAGAAGGGGGAAAGTCTGAAAGTGAGTGAATAGTTAACTGCGAGGATCACGTCATCTACTCTCATCAGTAGGCTCGTTAGAGATAAACTGCGCCTCGCCTGCAAAGTGTACGAGAGCAGGCAGCTGCAGCAGGAGGTGGTGACAACAAGCTGCAATCAAGTAAGAGGCTGAATCCAAACGTCCACCCTCTGGACTTGCAGCTGAGCCCTCGCAGACTTCAGCTGTATGTAGTGTGATGTGTTTACTGTCATCATTTAAAGTCTGTGACGGCAGAGACTGCAGGCGACAGCCCTTGAGACTACTTGACTCGTTGCCATGGAAAGGTTCAACTATTGCTGCTGTCATATTTATATATGTCATATAAGTTGATGAACAGTGCCTACTCACCTGTTGCTGATTAGGGCTGCCACTAACGATTATTTTCATTGTCGACTAATCTGTCGATTATTTCTTCGATTAGTCGACTAATCATTTCATCGAAAAATGTGTTCAAATGTTGAAAAATGTCGGTCTGTCTCGCCCAAACCCCAAAATTACGTCATCCAATGTCCTGTTTCATACTCACGCCAAAGGGTTTTAGTTCACTGTCACGGGAGAGTGTGTAAAGCTGCCAATATCTGAAACTAAGAAGCTGCAGTAAGAGTATTTTGGGGTACTTTTATAGTACTTTTCTATGAAAAATGACTCAAACCGATTAGTCGACTCCTAAGATAGTCAACGATTACTTTAATAGTCAATTAGTCATCGATTAGTCGACTAATCGTGGCAGCCCTATTGCTGATAATGAGTTATAAATCCCATATATAGCCTTTTTTTGTTACTAAACAAGGATGCATTAATACATCTTTATATAACAGGTGACACGTGTTCAAAAATAGAAATCTTTATAAATAAGGACAGGAATATATATCAATAAATTGGGTATTTACTGAAACGAGAAACCTTCTTTTGTTGTTTTTTGGCCAATTTTTTTCGCCTAATGAACTGCTCAGTCTGAAAGGCTGCAATAATAAAATGCATTTTCAGTCCCTCTACGGCCTAGATTTATACATATTTCTGTGTCATGATGTGGTCGAATATTATTTCTGGCTGACACAATTCAAGTAAAATTTTAACAGGCCTAACTATCAATAACTATGTTACACATTCATAAGGTTTTTTCGGCAGTTGAAAAACCCACATCATCACGTCTGTATTGCAATGAATTGTGGGTTATTAAATCAGTGTCTGATTCTGCTGAAGTCTACTGCCCAAGCGGACTCTCTGGAAGTCTGCAGAAAGTCCACTTGAGGCCGCTTGTGGACTGGCTGAATTGTGGATTTGGAGCCCTCAGCACTCCCAGACTTTCCGGGAATGTGCCTGCAATGTCAACGAGTCTGCAAGTGCGGTGAAGTCCGGACATCTGGGCTAAATCCAAATGAATCCAAACTCCTATATCAGTTTGTTCTCAGTCTCCAATTATTTTGATTAGGATAGATTCATTTATTAAAATGCTTTACAGGCTATATGTAATTTATGTTCATGGTTCAACCTCCATTTTACATGAATTCTCCTGTAAATCAGCATCATATCAGTTTGCTGCTGCAGAGCAGACCTGTCCCCTCAACTACAGAGGCTAAATAAATTGTGTCTTGACTGTAAGGTTAATATTTTCAGAGGAAAAAAATACAAGACAACAGCTTTCATTAAAGATCAGTCAGATATAGTCAGGGCTTCACATCTGTACAGATATCATTTTAAGAATCCTCACATCCCACTGACAAGTCTCTGTGTTGCTAATTACTTCATGATGTTTGGACTTAAAACAGTCCAACGTTAATATACAGTAGTCTACATATAGTTTATGATAGTTAAAATGGCCAAAAATGTGAATAACTGTGTTGCAGGACGATTTAAGGTTAGCCCCTACATTTTCTGCTTGTGCTCCTAAAATTTTTCAGTTAAGGGCTACAGTGCTCCTACTAAAAAAAGTTAGTCTGGAGCCCTGCATTTCCATAAAAATAGGGCTACCTTCTTGAAGGTGTGTCCTTAACTGATGACGGCTTGTCTTGAGTGATGATGTTTCAAAGTAGAGTGCTGATCCATGGCTAAAATCCCTTCTTATTTTTGCTGCATGTGTTTTTCCACAGCAGGGCAGGTAAAAGAAGTTTACCTGTTGGAGGTGAGCTGTTTGTAGAGGTGCAGTTAGAGCCTGTTGTCTGCAACTCTAAATCTAACATCTCACTGTGGCTGTTGGTGCTTTTACTCTTCCTCCCTGCTGTATTATTAGATTTGCCTTAATTAAAGAAAAGCTGTTAAAGTTCTGCTAATTCAGTTATAACACATTTCTTTTCTTCTCCACAGACATTAGCTAGCACTAGCTAGCAAGTTCTGTTGGCTTGTTTCAGACAGTGGAGGAAGATGATAAAAGTGGTGCATTCAGGGATACTCATTCCAAGTGCCGGAGAGCACTCTGGCACGAATTGGACGTTAGTAAATTTGTAAAACTGACACAATGTACTGTTCAGTTATCCAGAGCACCACACTCTCGGAGTGGCAGAGTACTCTCAGCACTCCATCTGGAGAGATGGAGCAGCAGACTGCCGAGCGAACCGCAAGTGTTACTTGAATAAGTAAACACTGACCAACGTGACCAGACTGGCCGACCCGTATGCTCTCACTCAGTGGATGGATGATTTGACAGGATTGCTGAAGGTGGGAAGGCTGGCTTTGTGGATGATTACTATGCCAGTCTTACAAAGGAGGACAACACTTTTAACGATTTCCTCCAGTTTGTTTTGCTTTCTAATGTTAGCTAATGTGCTAAAAAGTTAGCGTTTGGAGACATCCAATATTCCTCTTAATACCTCCCCAACTTCTGATTAGTTGGACATGATAACCCTTAATACACATAACGTTAGTCATCCCTGTAATAGTAAATACTTTTTCCTTAACCTGATATTAAGTGTGTGCACATGCGAGCATTTCAGATGACTGCCTCCGTCCAGTCCTTTTGTCTTATTGGATTCAACCCAGGCTGTCTTGTCTGTTTTTGTTGATAAGCAGTGGCGGCTGGTATGTGCTTAAATTTAAGTTTTGAGCCATGAAGCCTTCTACTATGGCACCCAATAACACAATAAGATGACATTTTTAGACTCCCATGCCCTGTGGTGGCAAGTCGTGTTTTGCCTCCAGCTAACAATCTGAAGTCATTGTGACATCAGTCAAGTTCTCCGTTATTTTGTTATGTAAAAACTTTTATTGCGAAGCACCAAAATACGGAAATGTTGAGTTTACAAGCAGCAACTTCACAAAACTTTTAATACGGCCGACAGCAAACATGAAGTGAAAACAGGATGCAGGAGAGAAACTAAATACCAAACCAGAGATTCAGTAAGAAGCTCCAAAAGTTCTAAGAGCTGAAGACACATAAGCCCCTTTTACACTGCCAGATTTTCGGCGAATGTTGGGCTGTTTTGCTGGCAAGCTGCAAGCGTTTAGACACACAGAGCTGGATTGGCGAGTTGATCCGAGGTGCCCAATTTTCTGCCTTGTAGGGTAGACATATTGGCGGAACCTTTATGGTTTAAAAAGAACAAGGCGCCCTTCCGCCACGGGAGGGGCTGTTGATGACTTGTGAGAGGAGCTGTTGATGACGCTGCATGTGCGACCCACTGGCGGTGGATAAACAGGAAATAGCTGATAGCAGGAATGAGCAGCTAGTAGCAAGAGGGAAACACAAACCTGACAGACACTGTGAAGATGAGCAACTGGGGAGACAAGGAATAGCACGCCCTCCTTGTCCTCGCAAACGAAGAGGCCATTAATGGTGATGAAGGACGGGCCAACTTACGAGAGAATCACCGAAGGACTGACCAGCTGCGGCTTCCCTTGGAGCAAGGCTATTTACGTCACATGCTGAGCTACATGTTTTGTTACTCGCTCACGCCCCCCATTGCCCCGAAAAAGGCACATTCTGTAGGTAGGCGGCATTTTGCTGCACTCCCTGATTTTGTTTTATACTGCCAATGCTGAACAAAGACTGATTGGGCTTTCCTGCAAATTTGCACAATTCTTGTTTAAAAAGGGCTAGAGACTTTTAAAAAAGTCTTTCTCTCTGGTCTCCAGCAGACAGAGGTGAGTGGAGTGGAGTCTCGTAACACACATGCTTGTTTGAGGGGGAGAGGCAGGATCGTCAGTGGTTGGCTGTGGTCGACGGCCCTGCTTTTGGACCTACTCCATAGAGGGTCCATCCTCAGTGCGGCTTGTTGTGGCACGGCACATCTAAACTGACAATGGAAACACAAATCGCTCCGGCATGGCTTTACTCGGCGCGGCCAAGTGTGACAATGGCAAAAGGGTATGAAGGTACCAGAGACCATCAGAGAGCTTCGTCTTACCTGGACTGTTGATGTACATGTGGATGGGTTTGTTGTTGCTTTCTGACTGTAGGAAGAGCAGCTGGGCGATAACCAGACTGGCTACAGTGTCATCAATCTGATTGAAAATAGAAAATACTTTGAACACATGTCTAAAAAAAAGGTTCACTCTTGATTACATCCAAGGAGACACTTACAGGACCCATTACACAGATGATTCTCTCTCTCAGGAGGCGAGAATAGATGTCATATGCTCTTTCTCCTCTCCCCTGGAAAAAAACAAAAAGGCAGAATTTTCGAACTCATTTAACACCAACACAACTATTCTATCTAGTGTTGTGAAGAGCCAAAAAAATGCATTAGGCCTGTTTCCACTGCAGGAACTTCGGGGTAATTTTACGGGGCCGGGGCCGTTGGTGCATGTCTCCACCGCAGGAACCACCCCCGAAGGACAGAGTTCCGGAACTTTTACAGGGGCTAAACAAGTCCCTGCCTCGGAGTAGGTACTCAGAACGGCCCCAAGAAACTCCTGGCTGGGGCTTGGGGATTACTTGGTGCTGACTGGATATACTCAAGGCGGGATGTGACATTTTGTAAATAACAACATGGTTATCGTAGATTAGCGGTGTCTGTAATAACTCCGGTCACGGTCCGTGAAAAAAAAAATTTTTTTCCAGCGGATATCTTAGTTACAACATGATTGAGCTAGCAAAGCAGTTTTGTGTTGCTATGTGTGGTATTTATTCAGTTTTGGGAAATCACGATGTCTAGAAAGCATCAGCTGACAGGGACAGCTAACAGCAGCAGCAAAGCTAACATCAGGACGTCATCTGTTAAAAGCCTCCCGTTGTCGGATACGACATGAAACTACTCCAGTTAGCTCAATCATGTTGTAACTAAGACATC